CCTGGGGGAAGAGCTAAAACCTGATTCTCACACCCTCTGCCTGCCACAAATCTGCCATGCCCTTCCCAATCGTGGCTCAGTGTAGCTTCTAATAGCCAATCCCATACCGTCCCTTAAAATTCTGACAGATAGAAATAGCACTTATTTACCGCTTCACAGTCCTTGACAGCCCTCTCTAAGCGGTTTACAAAGTCGGCCTATTCTGCCCACAATCTGGGTCCTCATTTTACCCACCTCGGAAGGATGGAAGGCTGAGTCAACCTTGAGCCTGGTGAGATTTGAACTGCTGAATTGCAGCTAGCTGTCAGCTGAAGTAGCCTGCAGTGCTATACTCTAACCACTGTGCCACCTGGGCTCTTTATTCAGATGCAGTCTTTATTCATACATTCAACTAGTTACATAGCTACTCCCTAAACAAACCATGGCTATATTTTAATATATTTCTCCTGTTCTCGCCATCAATACCAGCATCAGCCTCACAGTTTTTTCAACGTTCGCAAGGCGTTTATGACTTCATCCTTTTTTTCTTTCTTTGATATTAAAATTAACACGTGTTTCAGTGCCACCCTTTAGCATTTCATTAGCATTTACCACGCAAGGATCTAAAATACTCCTGCATTGCCTCATTTCAATTTTGTGCCAAAAACATTTCATCATTTTGATCCATGCTTCCATCTGAAACAATGAAGGGCTCATTGTTTAGTCCTTTTCCAAACATTCTTTTTTAATTTCCACCAAAATCAATTTGCATATTATTTTTTTTCCTGCCTCTTGGAATTTAACTGTTCTCTGTGCTCTTTGACTATAGTCTTTGCCATTGCAGTATTAATGTAAGAGATGACTTGGCTGAGCTCAAGGGAAGAGTCAAGCGTATCATCAGTCTCGAGTCTCTTCGTACCTGTAAGAGAACTAAATCCAGGCTTCCTTGAATTCTGCTGACTCTTATATACCGCCAAGTTGCCTTGACTGCTAGTAGTTCAGATTCTTTAGAGAGCTAGCATGGAATAAACTTCTACTCATTTGAACAACTCCGGTTCCTGATATCTTGCACCTGACATTTATTATTCTTTGCTTAAAAGCTCCCTTTTTATAACCCTATAATCCTTAATTCAGGCTAGAATTGGGCGACTGGATGGAGCTGAGCATTTACTGCCTGGATGCCCTTCCTGATGCCTATGCGAAGTTCACAGCATTTTTTTTTCTTTGCGCTCTAAGAGAGAAATATCTGCCTCTACCTAGGATTGAACTTTCAACCTTCTGAGTGGTAGGGGAACGTCTTCACCACTAGGCCACCGTGTCGCTCATTTATTATTCTTTATCTACACAGCAAACAGTATATTTTTTCTCACTTTTTTTTGCAACCACACTTCCATCTGTGCATTTTCCATCTCATCCACAGTCTCTTTCACTTCATCATTCCACCAAGCAAAAGAAAAGACAAACAATTAGAAAAGCAGGACAAAGCCATCAGCAGGATTGCAACTGATAACCTGTGGTTGCATGGCACCAAAAGCACAGTGAAAAAGAGAGCCTAATTACCAGGTGCCATTTCTACTATTGTCTTCTGTGTTTCTCCCTACTCTACTTCCTCAAGTACTTGGACCAACGCAATGAACAGAACTTGCAAAGGTCATGCTGCTCCCAGATGGCTGGGCTTCTAAGAAGGAGTCTATGTTCCAGTTAGAACAGTGGATCTCAACCTTCCTAATGCCACGACCCCTTAATACAGTTCCTCATGTTGTGGTGACCCCCAACCATAAAATTATTCCTAAAACCATTGAAAATATGTGTTTTCGATGGTCTTAAGCGACCCCTGTGAAAGGGTCGTTCGACCCCCAAAGGGGTCCCGACCCACAGGTTGAAAACCACTGAGTTAGAAGAATATGCCTGGAGTCCAGAACATTTCCCACACAACTGAAACTGTCTTGCTAAATTGGCACATCTAGTTATCCAAGTGTGATCAAAAGCAGGATCTGGCTTTCTGAAGGCCCTGATTAAACGAAGAAAATCAGCTTGGTTTTGAGGTTCTAACAGATTAACAAATTCACAGAGTTGGAAGGGACCTTGTAGGTCATCTGTTCCAACCCCTTGTGCAAGCAAGAGACCCTACACCATTTCTGACAAATGGTAGTCCAGTCTCTTCTTGAAAGCTTCCAGTGATGAAGCTCCCATAACTTCTGAAGGCAACTTCTGTTCCATCGGTTGATTGCTCTCATGGTCAGAATTTTTTTCCTTATTTCCAGGTTGAATCTTTCCTTGTTCAGTTTCTATCCATTATTCCTTGTCTGGCCTTCAGCTGCCTTGGAAAATAGGTTGACCCCACTTCCTCTCTGTGGCAGCCCCTCAAATATTGGAAGACTGCTATCATGTCTCCCCTGGTCCTTCTCTTCACTAGACTAGCCATGCCCAGTTCCTGCAACCGTTCATCGTATGTTTTAGCCTCCAATCCCCTCATCAACCTGGTTGCTCTTCTCTGCACTTTTTCTAGCATCTAAACATCTTTTTTATAGTGTGGTGACCAAAACTTGATGCAGCATTCTAGGTGTGGTCTTACTAAGGCTTTATAGAGTGGTATTAGTACCTCACCTGATCTTGATTGTATCCCTCCATTAATGCAATTTAGGATTGCGTTGGCTTTTTTGGCTGCTGTTGAACACTGTTGGCTCAAAGATACTTTTGAGGACTTCAAAAACCTGAACCAATCCGGATCAATTTGGATTCTTGGTAGATCTAAGCATGTTTGATTCATATTAGTGATTGAACCAGACTTTAAAGTAGTGTCTGCCTTCCCCGCTGTCTTTCAGTAAAGAATATACTGTATTTTTCGGAGTATAAGACGCACCTTTTTACCCCTCTAAAAGGGGGTGAAAATTTAGGTGCGTCTTATACACCGAATGTAGCCCCGCTCACCCACTGGCCCCCCACCCTTTGGTCTCTGCCTTGCAGCAGTTACCTCCTTGCAGGAAGCAGCAAGAAGAAACAGCTTTTTTCAGCTTCAGCACAGCGTAATTAGCACAAGTTGATTGATTGTCTGTTGGATCGGCCTCCCGACTCTCAGCTGTTTTGCTCTCAGCTGTTTTGCGCAGGCCTCTGCCGCTTGCTGCAAGGAGGTAAATTGCTGGGAGCAGATTTTTTTTTTCTTGTCCTAATCAAGCTATGCTGAAAATGAAAGTGAAAGTGAAAGCAGGCTATTTGCTGTTTGTTGCAATGAGGCAAAATTGCTGGGAGGCAGAGGCAGATTTCTTTTTCTTGTTTTCCTCACCAAAAAAGGTAGGTGTGTCTTATAGTCTGGTGTATCTTATACGCCGAAAAATACGGTAGATTTCTTTACACTTGCTCAGGTGTCCTCTGACAGTACAAATCCTTGACTTCCTCTATTAATTTAAGGATTGCATGATGTGTATGATGCAATGAATGGCAAATGACCTTGCCTTTGATTGTTTTTACTGTTTTTCCCCACTCCCTACTCTGGAGACACATATTTTTCTTTAAAAAAAAAAAGAAGTTGTACCTTTCTATTTGTTAATCAACAAAAAGCTTTCTGTGGTAGCAGCTTGAAGATTAACAAATTAATACCTGCCGAAATTGGTTCACTTTCCAAAAGCTTTTAACGTTAGCAAATAAATTATCCTTCCATGTGTCAGAAGTTGTTTCTGGGCTTTGTTTCATCAAAATAAGACAGCTACACAACTGAGATTTGTGGCTAATCCAAGTGACCCAAAGAATCAATGCAAAAATATCTGTTCTCTGGTTTGGCACTTCATCAAAGTACCAAATAAGGAAGATGTAACTTTCAGTTCCAAGGAACTGTCATATCCCTTGGCACAGAAATAATCTTTGCATGAGGAAGGCTGCAAGAACCAAAAGTGACTCTGAAGAGCAAGGCTCTTGCAATAGCGAAATGATAGCATTTACACTTCTATACCGCTTCATAAAAAGGGGACGTGGTGGCTCAGCGGCTAAGAGACTGGGCTTGTTGATTAAAAGGTTGGCAGTTCAGCGGTTCGAATCCCTACTGCTGCATAACGGGGTGAGCTCCCGTGACTTGTCCCAGCTTCTGCCAACCTAGCAGTTTGAAAGCATGTAAAAAATGCAAGTAGAGAAATAGGGACCACCTTTGGTGGGAAGGTAACAGCGTTCTGTGTGCCTTTGGCGTTTAGTCATGCCGGCCACATGACCACGGAGACGTCTTCGGACAGCGCTGGCTCTTCAGCTTTGAAACAGAGATGAGCACCGCCCTCTAGAGTCGGGAACGACTAGTACTTTTGTGCGAGGGGAACCTTTACCTTACTGCTTCATAATGATTTACAGCAGGGATGTCAAACTCGATTTCATTGAGGGCCGCATCAGGGTTGTGTTTTACCTTGGGGGGGCCACTTGGGGGGGCATGGACATGGCAGGTTTAGCAAGCTCAACGTCACTCATATCAGGTGTGCCTCAGCACTTTGCCAGTGAAGATGGGCTCCTGAGCTCCGTTTTCGGCTGCGACGGCCTCCTGCAACCCTCTGCCAGTGGAAACGGAGCTCGGGAGGGCCGTCTGCAGCCCTCCCAAACTCCATTTTCACTGGATAGAGGCACCATGGGCTGATCCTTCGCTGTTTCCAGGGTGGTCCCACAAGCCAGATCTAAGCACCCCGGGCCTTGAGTTTGACACTCCTGATTTACAGCATTCTCTGGTTGGTTTACAGAGTCAGCATATTGCCCCCAACAATCTGGGTCCTCATTTTGCTGACCTCAGAAGGATGGAAGGCTGAGTCAATGCTGAACTGGTCAGGATCGAACTCCTGACTGTGGGCAGTGTTAGCCTGCAATACTGCATTCTAAACACTGAGCCACCAGGGCTCTTGAGATGAGGTAGATTCCTGTGCTAATGTTTACAATGGTTCACAAAGATAGATCAAAATTCCTTTTAAGAAGAGTTTATCGGTTTACTTCAAAGCCTTCTTCATGTAGACCACAAATTCAGAACATCCTGAAGCCTAAAATGAAGTGATACTCACCTAAGTCAGCATGTTCAATAAATGCTTTCACAAAACGTTTCATTTCCTCGAACTGAGCTTCTTCAACTTCTGAGGTTCCATCCAGAAGAAATATCACATCCATTGGCTTGGTGCAAGTTTCTGAGGAGAGTTTTAAATCTTTTCATTATCAAGGTTTCTAGACTAGACAACTGGCAAACAGCATAACTTCATAAAAATAACACAAGAGAACAAATAGAAACTTGGGGAAATAATAATTTCTGAGGAGAAATTATTATTTCTCCTCAGAAATTAAATAATTAATTATTATTTCTCTTCAGAAACTAAATAACAATTTCTGAGGATAGTTTTAAATCTTTTCATTATCAAGGTTTCTAGACTAGACAACTGGCAAACAGCATAACTTCATAAAAATAACACAAGAGAACAAATAGAAACTTGGGGAATTAATAATTTCTGAGGAGAAATTATTATTTCTCCTCAGAAATTAAATAATTAATTATTATTTCTCTTCAGAAATCAAATAATAATTTCTGAGGAGAGTTTTAAATCCTTTCATTATCAAGGTTTGTAGGCTAGACCAGTGGTGGGTTGCCCCCGGTTTGCACCGGTTCTATAGAACCGGTAGTAAAACCGGCAGGAGGCTCCGCCCACCAACGCCGACGTCATCAAAACACTTCTGCGCATGCGCAGAAGAGAGCGCGCACGCGAGCGGCCCCACTGCGAACCGGTAGTAAAGGTAAGTAGAACCCACCTCTGGACTAGACAACTGGCAAACAGCATAACTTCATAAAAATAACACAAGGGAACAAATAGAAACTTGGGGAAACAATAGTTTTTAAAAAGTCATCAGAAAGAGGGCTAACGACCAGATGACTGCAAGGAATATAAATCCTTCCATTCCCTACCGTTCAGTCAGAACTGAAGAAGCTTCTTGGATAAGAAGTGAAACATCTTCAAAGAAAAAAAAACCAAAGTCCAGTTGTCTCTTGAAAAAGAACCTTCGGGACAGCCATTTTAGCTTCTATTCTCGAGTTTAATTAAAAACAACAACAACAAATGAAACAGACATTACCTTTCTTTGAGCAACAAGTTTTGAATACCAGGTCAGGCCCTTCTTCGATAAGGTTGTTAAAGCCTTCTATGATTATAGGAGCCTGTGGCTGGCTTAATTCTTGGAGTTCCTGGATATCTGCATTAGGCCTTATGCCGATAGGAATCACATGGACGTCCGTGGATGGGCGAGTGATGGTATCTGTGGCAGGATTTGCAGTGACCATGTAAACCAAGTGTGGGACTTGCTCTGTTCTTCTGTTGGTGATAAACGACTGTTCGGAGACAAAGTTGAGAGCCTGCCCAGTGTTGGTCGCATTTCCTCCCTGGAATTTCATCTCCCGCACCTTTTTAATCAGGAATTCCTTGGATTGACGGTCCCTGAAAGAATGTTCCACGGTGATGGTGAAGGAATACTGGAGGATGCTAATCTGAACGGTTTCTTCGCCCACTTCCAACTCCTGGATGGTACGGATGAGAAACTCTTTGATGGTGTCAAAATTGCTCTTGCCGACTTTGCTGGAGCCTTCAATTAAGAAGACAATGTCAAGGATCTTTTCGATGGAAATAGTGGTCTTCGTAGAAAATACGTCTGGAAGGTGAGTCTTTGCTTCCACACTGGGGAGAGTCGGGATTGGGCGTTGGGTGGAAAGAACCTCACTGACTTCAGGTACAAGGCCACAGAAGTAATCAATGATTTCATCCCTACGTTGCCTCAACTCAAGGACGTTGTTCATTAGGAAAGCTCTGTTTTCTGGCGATTGCTGTTCGATTAGTCGAATTTGTTCAGTGCTTGCATGAGGCCCAAGGCCGATGGGTATCACAATAATGTTCTTTCTTTTCAGAAGCGGGAAGATCCCCTGAATTCTCTTGGGGTCCTTGCTTGCCATAAATAGCACAGCTATTTGGGCAGCGTTTGTCCGTGGCGCCTTTCCAAACACATGGAACACAACATATTTGAGAACCTCGGCTGCAGAGGCTACATCCCCGCCTGTGTATTTTATATTTTTCACAATCTTCCTCATTTTAGTTGACTTTTTAATATCCTTCAGGCCAAGGTAAATGTGCGATCCGGTCCGGTATTCCAGCACTGCCAAGCGGATCCTTTTTTGAGAGATGTGGAGTTTTTCCATCATGCTAATTATGAAATTTTTCAACTCGTCAAAATCACTCTCGGAAAGCTTATTGGAACCATCCATTAAGATGGCCAGGTCCATCATTTTGCTACAGGAATATTCACGCGGGACTTCTTCTTCCTCTTCTTCCTCCTCTTCTTCTTCCTCTTCTTCATCTGGGCTAGCAGTGGTCAAGGATTTGCCAATCTCTTCTGGATTACACGGGCGGCATGTCAGGTTTCGTACTTCACAATGGCTAACCAAGTAGGAAAAACAAACAGTTAAAACTCCATTTTCAACTTCTGTTTTCAACTTTGTTACAAGATTAAATGTAAGAGATGACCAGCCTGAGCCTGAGGGAGGAGTCAAACGTGTCATTAGTCTCGAGTTCCTTTGAGCCCACAAAAGATCACCTTGAATTGCATTGACTCTTATCTACCACCAATTTACTTTGACTTTCAGTAGCTCAGATTCTTGTAGAGAGCATTAGCATACAATAAACCTATATTCATTTGAACTGCTGGACTCCTGATTTCCTGTGCTTGACTTTAAATCTTTTTTTTTAAATGTTTTTTTGCATTTCAATAATTCTAACACTTTTAGAGTTAGGAGTCCCTGTGGATTTTACACCGCTAGTTGTTGCTTACTCTAGGTCTCATCTCCATTTTAAGACCTTTGAGCCAGTGCTGTCCAAAGACATTTTCACCGTCATGTGTCTAGCATGACGTCATGGAACACTGTTACCTCCACACTGAAGTGCTACCTATTTATCTACTTGCATTTGCATGCTTTTGAATTTCTAGGTTGGCAGGAGCTGAGGATGGGAACTCACCCCATTCCATGCCACCTGGGTCTCGAATCTCGATCCTGGGCTGCCAGCTCTCTAGCCGACAATCTCAGTTTCTTAACCATTGAGCCACTGCACTGCCCCTTTAGAATAAAGACAATTCTGATAATCAATATAGTTTTTCAAGGCTTTGAAAAGTGTGCTTCCAAATTATGGGTCAGTTTTTGAAACCAGCAAACGGCTGGATGTTTTTTCATTCCATACAACAAAACTGATCAATCTGAAGGTAATAATTTGAATTCTTTATTGGAGAGTTGGATAAGAGAGATGGAGAAAAAAAACCCCATTAATATGTAATGCTTAAGAGAGAAAAGGGAGGCTCAAATAAGCATCCCACAGTATTTTTTTTAAGGAAGATCCTGAGAATTGTGTTCTCCTGAGAGAAGAATTATTGAAGTGATTGAACTTCTATCTATAAATAGAAGCCAATCATATTCTATTTATAAATTAATAACAGCGGCTTGACTTAGTTATTTTTTTTAAAAAAAAAATCCTATTCATGGAAAAAGAGAGTATTCAATTTAAAAATAAACTATGTTTTAAAAATCGGAAAACTTTCTACCCTCAAAAAATGTTAATTGTTCTGGTCTGGGCCAGTGCAACCACAAAGCATTCGCTCTGGTTTTGTGAAGTGTGATTAACAATCCTCCAGGATCCCTTAAGACTGACACAACTGATCCATTTAGAAAACATTGCCAAAATCCTCACCCATATACTTTTGCTAAAACCGAGAGCTATGGAGGACACATGCCATATAATATACATTTCTTCTCTGTCCTAATTCAACCTATCCCCTCTCTTAAATTCCACAAAGTTCTCTGTTTTACCAGGATCGGCAGAGCTGAGGATTCTCCGAGTTCAAAACGACCTTTTTCCCGTGAGAAATCCTGCCTCCTTCTACTTCGCACACCGGACATTCTTCAAGTTTGATACAAGACTCAGAAAGCTCATCAAGAATTTTTCCTGTTTTACAAAAGTATTGGAGAAAAATGAGTTTAATTTCTTTATTTCTTTTTTTAAAAAAATGCAACAATAGATCCTGACATTTTAAACATTTAGCCTCTCCCTTGGAAACTTAATAAGAACTCCAAAGTTTGCAAGATTGTCAACAGTCAGCAAAGGTTGATGCTCTTCCACAGATTATGTTATCTCGTTTGGGTGAACGAAACATCTGCAAGAAAACAACCAAGCTCAGAGAGCACCAAAGACCGCAAGGAGAGGTTCTCCTTTAAAACTGCCAGGCACATCTCCTAAATATCATGTTTCCCCGAAAACAAGACCGGGTCTTGTTTTCTTTTGGACCCCGAAATAAGCACTAGGGCTTATTTTCGGATGATGTCTTATTTTTTTTTCCATGTACGGAGGCTTCTGCTTGCTCGCGGAGGGGCAGGAGGTCGAGCGACACACTGGTACCGCAGCCACGAGATGAGGTGGGTGGGTGGAGCTACCTCATGCACCCCACATTGGCTGTGGTGGCCCGACGGCAGCCAGCAGAGCTGGCAGCAGAGTTGAACAGTGAGGAGGTTGTGGAGCAACTTGGGCCAGTGCTAGGGGCTGGGGAAATCTTGGACGAGGGCTCTGCGTTGGAGGCAGAGAGGGAGCTAGGCAGCAGTGAGGCAGAGGAACAGCTGGAGCCCATTCCCAGTGTGTGCATGCGCAGAGCTGCCAGAAGACAAGAACAACTCAGAAAGCAGGAGCAACTCAGGAGTAAAGCCACACTTTGGAGGTGATTGGCCCCTCCCATAGGAAATAAAAGAGGAGCGAACTGGGAGTGGCCTTTTGCAGGAAACAATTCGTTCGTTCCATGACTCTGAGAGACTCTGTGCCAGGTTTTGCTTTGTACTGCGGTTGGAAACAAATTATGTGGCAGCTTGCCAAAGGAGATAAGGTGTGTTGAGAAATATTCCTTTAAAAAACTGTTTGGACAAAACTTGCTGACTGTGAATGAACGTAATTCACAGTCATGTAAATAAAAGAGGTTTTGCCGGGATCTATTCCTGCCTCCTGCTTTTTAAGGGAGCGTAGGTCAGAACTGCAGGGCTCCTGCAGCCAGGCCATCCATGCCCTGACACCTGCCTCGTGGCCACGGCACCAACACACCGCACGGCCTCCTGCTCTGTTGCGGCCGCGAGCAAGTAGAGGCAGTGGGCTGGCGGCCACATGGGCTCCTGCTGCATATGGCTTCCACTTCTGCCACTGTGAGGCTGTTGTCAGGGTGTGAATGGCTTGGGTGCGGTGGCCCTGAGGTAAGCCACTGCAGGCCACATGGGGCAGCTCCACCACCACCCCATCTCGCCTCATGGCTGCACTACTGCAAGCAACCAAGAGCCTTGGTAGTACAGTGGTCTAAGGCACCCTGTTATTAAGCTGGTTATTAAGACCAGCTGCCTGCAATTACTGCAGGGTTCGAATCTCGCCAAGGCTCAAGGTTGACTCAGCCTTCCATCCTTTCTAAGGTAGGTAAATTGAGGACCCAGTTTGTGGGGGGCAATAAGCTGACTTTGTATAAATATACAAAAGGATGAAGGCTATTGCTGAGCACATTGTAAGCCGCCCTGAGTCTTCAGAGAAGGGCGGCATATAAATCAAATTAAAAAAAAAAAAAACCAGACAGAATGGACAGATAGCCAGCTGCACAGGCTCTTAAGTAGGGCTTATTTTGGGTGTAGGGCTTATATTACGCACACACGTAAAAATATGCAAGGTCTTATTTTCGAGATGGGTCTTATTTTGGGGGAAACAGGTTAATTAGCAATTCTAGTGGTGCCATCCATGTTTCAATTCTTCTAATCTTCAAATGGTTCTGTGAGAATTTTTTTCAAGTTAGTTCCATAGCAACTTTACTGACTTATCATTCCTTCCCGCTTCGAAATTGAATTGAGTTAAAGATCAGCAATTGAATCCAGCTGCCAAAAACACCCACTCTTCCCCCCTTCTATTTATTAACATCTGGATTGCAGGATCACTTCAGAAAGAGAAAAGGATATAGAATTGTTTTCCAATAAAGTACATACTAAAACAGACTGGAATATAGAGGCCCTTTTACCAAAAAAGTCAATCTATTCCTGTCTGATCAAAAATGATCAGAAGATGATACAAATTGTGATCAAATAGGTTCCTTTGTGAAATACCCCTTTCATTTTAAATGGAAAATTAATTGGTTTCAAGTGATCCAATATTTGTAAACAATCCCAAATTTCTTTGGAACGTAGATATTTTGCTCTGGGGTTCTACTATCTACACAACAGGATTCTCCATTCAAAATACGACATAATAAGAATGGGCATCAAAACTCTGATGAATTTAATTTTACTAACTCAACTTTTTGGTATTTTGGTCTTTCAAGATAAGGAGGCAGAAACCTGTTGATATTTCCTTTGGAAATTAATAGCTGACATCTGCACTATTCTCTCCTACTCATCCTGTCCACACACATATAGGCACAGATAATTTGTGAAGGTGTTGGGACACAGTTTAATTTCTTTTTTTTTAAAAAAAAGAATAGGTGGATGAAGAAGCCTTTTAAACCCATTTCTCTTGTTCCTGGATGTCTGTTTCTGAGTTTAATACAGAGAAAAGAATTGCATTTATTCTATTTTTTCAAAAGAAAGAGGAAAGTCTCTCTGATTTTATTTCTGCCAGAATACCAGAACTATCCATAATCTGAAATTCTATTCTGTTCTGTTCTGTTCTGTTCTGTTCTGTTCTATTCCATTCTATTCCATTCCATTCTATTCCATTCCATTCCATTTTTTCTATCCTATTCTATTCCATTCTATTCCATTACATATTTTATATTCTATTCAGTTCCTTTCCATTCCATATTTTATATTCTATTCTGTTCTGTTCTGTTCTGTTCTGTTCTGTTCTGTTCCATTCTGTTCCGTTCTATTCCATTCCATTTTTTCTATCCTATTCCATTCCATTCCATCCCATTCCATTCCATTCCATTCCATTCCATATTTTATATTCTATTCAGGTTCCTTTCCATTCCATATTTTCTATTCTATTCTATTCTATTCTATTCTATTCTATTCTATTCTATTCTATTCTATTCTATTCTATTCTATTCCATTCCATTCCATTCCATTCCATTCCATCCCATCCATCCCATCCCATCCCATCCCATCCCATCCCATCCCCCACCCCACCCCACCCCACTCCATTCTATTCTACTCTATTCTATTCTATCTTCCTTGCTTTCAAGATCCTAAATCCTTTGCATGTATCATCAGAGTAAAACTTACAAGAGCCTCTTAAAGGAATGTTAATTTGCAGTATTATCTTTGGGGCTGCTCTTCTAGATGAAATCAACATGACTAGAGAGATGAGATGAAGGACTTCATGGGGTGGAGTTCAACCTTCTAACCACACAACCACATTTCCCAAATCTGAATTATCTTGCATCTCCAATCAGTCATGACCAAATGTCATCACTGATCCAAGCATTGGGAAGTTGAAGGACAACAGGAAAACACATAACTTGCTTCTCCCTACTTCAAAAGAGAGAAAATAATCCTGTTATGTCATGTCCCTGTCGGAGCCTGAATCTGCGGAGGAAGGCAAGCTGGAATTGTAGCCGATGGAGATGGAAAGGATGACTTTGTTGACTTGGGAGGAAAATGGGGAGGAGCAGGCCCAGTCAGGCCAGGGCCTTGCAGGATTGGGACGGCTTGTAGGCAGGGAGAAAGGGGGAGCAGGATGACCCAAGAGAGGCTAAGCAGTGAACATGAGAGACAGAATTCAGGCAATGAGCAAGGACCACCCTCTCCTGATCCTCAAGCACGGAGAGTGGAGAGAAGGCGAGAACAGCACAGACTGACCTGACTACTCAGAAGGAGAGTGTCCCACCCCTCTCCACAAGGCACACCTGGGGACTGAGACTTAAGGAGATACTGTGGGGAGGGGCATTTGTCAGGAACAAACATTGAATTCCTGGAGTGTTGTGTGCCGACGTTTGAATTTTCCTGCATTCCTTGCATTCTTTCTGGATTTCTTGCTTTGCAGCCATGGTGCTCACAGCACTGGGCTGGACTATTTGCAGCCAGAGGCTGCTTGAGGTGTGTGTGTGTGTATGTCATCACTTTGCTCTGGGGCTTGCCAGAAACATGGGAGTGTTTGGGGAAATTTGGAGCAATAAAGGGGCGGTTTGAACGGCCAGCTGCCTGTGTAACCTCTGTGCCGTGCCCTGGGTCATCACATATTATTTAAGTAAGAGTGAAACTCCTAGTAAGATCCTTCTGACCAGGTATAACACATGGAGTGGAGATGCTTACCTGAAGGACAGTGTGGATGGCATCCTTCAACACACTTCACGGGACATGCTATTGGATCCATGTGCTGGCATGTCCTTGGACAGGCAGGACCACAGCTGTTGTATTGCCATTCGCATTGATACTCTTCCTCCACTTTGTTCATGCTTTCACAACTTTGTGCTACAATATACCAAATAAAAAACGATGAAATGCTTGTGCCGAGTAATCATTTCAATTTTTTTTAAAAAAAGTGAACATCTATAGATGAGAGGCTCCCTGAGCTTGTCTGTTTTCTTGCAGATGTTTCACTACCCAAACTAGGTAAAATCATCAGTGCTAGCATCATCACTAGCACTGATGATGCTACCTAGTTGGGTAATAAAATGTCTGCCTAACCCTATATCATTTCAGACAAATGGTTGCCCAATCTCTTCTTAAAAACTTCCAGTGTTCAAACATTCACGACTTCTGGAGGCAAGTTGTTCCACTGATTAATTGTTCTAACTGTCAGGAAATTTCTCCTTAGTTCTGGATTGGATCTCTCCTTGATCGATTTCCATCCATGGTTTCTTATCTTGCCTCCTGGTGTTTTGGAAAATAGGTTGAAACCTGTCTTCTTTGTGGCAGCCCCTCAAATATTGGAAGTCTGCTATCATGTCACCCCCCAGTCCTTCTTTTCACTAGATTAGATATACCCAGTTCCTGCAACCATTCTTATATCTTTTAGCCTCCAATCCCCTAATCATCTTTGAGCTCTTTTCTGCATTCTCTCCCTCCCTCTCTCCCTCCCTCTCTCCCTCCCTCTCTCTCTCTCTCCCTCTTCTTCTCCCTCTCTCTCCATCTCTCCTTCGCTCTCTCCCTCTCTCTCCCCCTCTCTCCCTCTCCCACCCTCTCTCCCTCCTTCGCTCTCTCCCTCCCTCTCCCCCTCTCTCTCTCCTACTCTCTCCCTCTCTCCCTTTCCCTCTCTCCCTCCCTCTCTCTCCCTCTCTCCTTCACTCTCTCCCTCCCTCTCCCCCTCTCTCCCTCTCTCCCCCTCTCCCTCTCTCTCTCCCTCTTTCCATCTGTGTGTGTGTAAGAGAGAGAGAGAGAAAGAGAAAGAGAATTTGCTTAACGCATTGTAAGCCACCCTGAGTCTCCGGAGAAGGGCGGCATATAAATCAAATTTAAAAAAAAAAAGAAAGAAAGAAAGAAAGAGAAAGAGGAAGAGGAAGAGGAAGAGAAGGAGAAAGAGAGAAAGTAGATTAATTCATATTCTCTCCTCAGCACTTACGGCATAGAGTAGGAGTCCTCCAATTGATCACAGCTCCTTTCTGGGCACAAGCATGGGCGTAAGCAGCAATGGCATCACAGAAACAGGCACAATCCCCAATGGACTCACAAACACAGGTGTCGTATGTGCAGATCTCCACATAAGGCTCAGGATCGACCTGTGATGGAAGTAATACAAGTCAAATCCTTACGATCTTGAGAAGATCTCCGCAGCTTCAAGGAACAAGGTGACCTGCATATAATGAGACTTGTCTTCACATCAAACTCTAAATTTTAGGAGGTCCCATTAACCAGCTCCTGCCAGCAGCGAGCTCTTCGGGGCAAGAACCCATCTCAAGGGCAGGCCAACCAGCTTCACAGCTGGGCAGGAGAAATTAGATCCTTCCACTACTTCATCTCAGATTGCCAAATTAGAAAGAAATGGGAGGCCAAACAGTATCTGCTACCAGAACGGAAGGAGCACTTTGCAACACTAGGCATCAAACAGCTGAAGAAGCTTCTAAAATGAGAAGCGAAATGTCTTCAACAGAAAAAAAACAAGGAAGTCCAGATGCCTCCTGAAAAAAGCACCTTTGGGACAACAAATTTCAAAAATTTTTACTACCAGTTCTGTGGGTGTGGCTTGGTAGGTGTGGCATGGCATGGTGGGCGTGGCTTGGGGACATGGCAGGGGAAGGATACTGTAAAATCTCCATTCCCACATTCCCACATGACTCCCAGATGGTCCTGGCCTCATCTCTGCCTCCGACGCAGAGCCCTCGTCTGGGCCTTCCCCAGCCTCCAGGACTGGCCCCTGTTCTTCCTCAGCCTCCTCACTGTCCGACTCCACTGCCAGCTCCGCAGGCTGCTGGCAGACCACAACAATATCTACTGTGTTTCCCCAAAAATAAGACCCTGTCTTATATTTTTTGAACCCCGAAATAAGTGCTTGGCCTTATTTTTGGGGAGGTCTTATTATTTTGGGGTGTGTGGAGCAAGATGGGGCTCCTCTTGCTGTCTTACCTGGTTTCCAGCTCTGTCTCCCTAACCAGAGGAAATGGCGGGGACCAGCTGCACATGCATTTAAATATTTTTGGGGAGGGCTTATTTTCGGGGGGGATTATTTTAGCACATGCTCTCAAAAGCCCGCTTGGGCTTATTATCAGGGGGTGTAAATACTGCCAAATAAATACTGCCAAATAAATGTCTTATTTTCGGGAAAACCCGGTAATAACAGAGTTCCATTTTTTTCCTCCAGTTCTTTTTCCATTAGGCCCAAAAGGAAAAGTTCTGGTTTCATTTTTATCTCCATTTTCAAAATTTTCTATATTAAGATATGAATCATACTCCAATTTTTTTTTTGCTTTATCGCTTGTCCACTTGTCAGGATTTGTCAAGTCTGAATGCTCGGAAGACTGAAACTTTGATCCTGGTGACCGACTCAGATTGGATCCTACGACATTATCCTGGGACGCGTATATTCTGCTTCATTCGTACTAAGCATCGGGATTAGTGATTAATTCAAGTGAGAAATGATTGTCCAGCCACGGGAACCAGAATGAGGGTTATTATCTGGATAAGAAATGGCTTACCAGCTTTTTGCATTCTTTGAAGAGATCACTATTCAAGACGCTGCATGACGTCTCCACCATCACCTGTTTTATGACGTTACCGTTGCACAGTGATGACGCCAAGTCCTGCCCTTGGGAAAGCTGCAAAAAAGAGAAGGAACACATTATAATGCCAAGAAATGTGGCAGCTATCGTTTACCTGTCAATTTAGCATCTTCATAGCAAAAAAAAAAAAAAAGGACTTGGTGGCTCAGTGGCTAAGACGCTGAGCTTGTCGATCGAAAGGTCGGCAGTTCAGCGGTTCGAATCCCTAGTGCCACGTAATGGGGTGAGCTCCTGTTACTTGTCCCAGCTTCTGCCAACCTAGCAGTTCGAAAGCATGTAAAAAATGCAAGTAGAAAAATAGGGACCACCTTTGGTGAGAAGGTAACAGCATCCTGTGCGCCTTTGGTATTTAGTCATGCTGGTCACATGACCACAGAGACGTCTTCGGACAGCGCTGGCTCTTCGGCTTTGAAACAGAGATGAGCACTGCCCTCTAGAGTCGGGAACAACTAGCACATACGTGTGAGGGGAACTTTTACCTTTACCTAGCAATGAGAGCTAAGAGTGGTGCGGTGGCCTAGAGGTGGAGCTGTCGCCTCACAATCAGGAGGCTGTGAGTTCGATCCTAGGTTGAGGCAGATATTTCTCTCTCTGGGCACGTTGAGAATATATCTGCTGAATATAACTCCGCACTGGTGACAGGCAGGGCATCCGGCCAGTAAACACTCAGCTCCGTTCAGTTGCCCAGACTCCACCCCACAAGGGATTATGGGGTCATTTAAAAGGAGATGATGATAGCAATAAAAACTAATCTCTTGGAAATCATGAACATACATCTAAATATGTGGGAACACATGAAAAGATCGGGCAACTGACTCATATTTATGACGGTTGTAGTGTCCTGGGGTCCACTTTTGTGACCTTCTGACAAGCAAAGTCAGCGGGGAAACCGGATTCACTTAACAACCGTGTAACTAACTTAACAACTGCAGCGATTCACTTAACAACGGCGGCAGGAAAGGTCGTAAAATGGGGCAAGACTCACTTAACAAATGTCTCGCTTAGCAACAGGAATTTTGAGCTCAGTTGTGGTCATAAGTCGAGGACTACCTATACTTGAAGCTGTTTTGATTCTGGCCTATCGCTATAGTCAGAAAAAATAATTATATTTCTTTTAGTGTCACCTGGTATCCCTTTTGCAATTTCATATATTTCTTTTCTTTTTTTTTTTAAAAAAATAATTTTTATTAAACATTTTTTCAAAAAACCCAAAAAGACTCTTTAAACAATAGTTTCTTTCCAACAGTTTCGCAACTGTTAAAAATTTCTTACTTATCCATTTTTTTCTCCCTTATTTCAATGTATCCTTTATACATACAAGTCTAATATTGATTTATTTACATATATACATATAAATAACAGTGTACACAATTTCATTTCTACAAACTGCATTTTTTCGGTTTCCTCTTATTTGTTGTTACATTTCTACTCCTACATCTTCCTTATTTGATCTTCCCTTGCCTTTTATCTCTCTCATCTAGCCATTCGTACCATTTCTCCCACACTATACAATATTCTGTTTCCTCTTTTCATATATTTCATATATTTTCATATATTTCATGTCTGCAATCCCTGCTGTAATTCCGTATAAATTATTTGATCTCAGAGGGAAAGTAAACAATATCTTCTCTTGCATTTTGAAGACGCTGTAGCTTGCATTTTGCCTTGGGTAAATAATCTAATTTCAGTTGCAAATGCTTTGATTTTCTCTGAATTTTCTGTCGCACCATAATTCTATACACTTGAAAACCATGATGGTGAGTAAAGTTTCCATTTCGCTTACCCCAAGATATTAGGATGATTATATTATTTTGTGTTACTGAATAGTATAAAGATGACTTACTAACCCTTCAAGGAACAAAATCACTGTGGCTGATAGACTCTTCAGTGAAACCCAAATAGGCTTATTTCTATTCTGGCCTCTAGTCTGGAGAATTCTTTGTAGTCTAGTGTAGCCTTTCTCAACCTTGGCAATTTTAAGATGTATGGATCCAGGGGTGGAATTCAGAAATTTTAGCAACACGTTCTCTGCCCGGTTGCTCTCTGTGTGTGGCCATGGCGGGCGTGGCCTACTCGGCCTCCTGCACCATGGGGAGGGGGGGCGTTTTGGTCCTCCCCAGACTCTGAAGGCTTTCCTTGAGCCTCCAGGAGGGTGAAAAGAGCCTCCCTTGGGCTCCGGGAGCCCTCTGGAGGCTGGAAACGGAGCCATTTTCAGATTTCCAGTACTTCTGGTAGGCCCGTTTTTCGCCCTCCCCAGGCTCCGGAGGCTTTCCTCTAGCCATCTAGGAGAAGGCGGTCTCCTTCTTTATCATTAGCCATGTTAGAGTTGGAGGCTCTAAGATAATCTGCTGGTTTTCCTACCCTGACAATAAAACATTCTGAAACACAGACTGTTTTTCGCCCTCCCCAGGCTCCAGAGGCTTTCCTCGAGCCCCTGGGTGGGCAAAAATGGCCTTCCCTGGGCTCTAGAGGCCCTACGGAGGCTGGAAATAGGCCCATTTTTGGACCTCTGGTACTTCCGGTAGGCCCGTTTTTCACCCTCCCAGAGCCTCCGCATGGGCCCTGCACTTACCTGGTATCCAAAATGGGCTGTGTGGAGACTCCTAGGAGGGGCAGGGTAGGGTGGGTGGGATCAGCCAGTCCTTGCAACTACCACTTCGGCAAACCAGATTAAAATTAACATCCGGTTCGCCCGAACTGGCCTGAACCGGCTGAATCCCACCCCTGTTTGGAGCTCAGGAATTCTGAGAGTTGAAGTCCACATGTCTTAATGTTTCCCAAGATGGAGAAAGAGTGATTAACCTCCATTCCAAACCACACGGAAATTACTTTTCCAGATTATTTCTGGCCATCCAAAAGAAGATGGTCTCCTTTTTGAGGAGTTGGGAGTTGGAGGCTCTAAAATAATCTGCTGGTTTTCCTACCCAGACAATAAAACATTCTGAAACACAGACAGACACCGCCGTCATCAAAGGTGCAACACTTTTTTTTTTTTTTTTACAAATACCTTTCTGACATCAGCACACTGTGAGTGAACTTTCCAAGAATTCCCAAAGTCACTCGGATCAACTTCAATCTGCTTCCGGCTGCTTCTCAGGTCGTTGTTTGGAACGCCATCAAAATTCCCGCACAGGCCACAGACCTTATCCTTTCAAGGAACAAGCCAAAGAAATGTGTCACCTTCTTTCTCCTTCAACAGGAAGACTATTAATTAATTAATATTAAGACTATTCATCGATGGGTGGCAGTGTTCCGATATTTGAGGGGTTGCCACAAAGAAGAGGGAGTCAAGCTATTCTCCAAAGCCCCTGAGGGCAGGACAAGAAGCAATGGGTGGAAACTAATCAAGGAGAGAAGCAACTTAGAACTAAGGAGAAATTTCCTGATAGTGAGAACAATTAATCAGTGGAACAACTTGCCTCCAAAAGCTGTGAAAGCTGTGAATGCAGGAAACACTGGAAGTTTTTAAGATGTTGGATAACCATTTGTCTGAAATGCTTTTGGGTTTCCTGCCTGAGCTGGGGGTTGGACTAGAAGACCTCCAAGGTTCCTTCCAACTCTGTTATTTGTTCTGTTCTGCACTGAAGATAAATTCCTTTGTGTCCAACCACACTTGGCCAATAAAGAATTCTATTTTATTCTATTCTGTTCTGTTCTGTTCTAACATACATAACTAAGTAAACAAGCTATTACTACCCTGTTTTCCCCCAAATAAGACACCCCCTGATAATAAGCCCAATCGGGCTTTTTGAGCGCATGGCAATAAGGCCAAGCACTTATTTCAGGGTTCAAAAAAATATAAGACAGGGTCTTATTTTTGGGGAAACATGGTAATTTGGAATCTGAGTCGTGGCAAGTGGACTTCTTTTCTTTTTCAGTCTAAAACGTTTCTCTGCTTCTCCAAGTAGCTTGTTCAGTCTGAGGGTCTCCCAAACCAACTCGCTCGGGCTGAAGACGCTACTTGGATGAGCAGCGAAACATTTCCAAAGCAAAAAGAAAACAAGTCCAATGGTCATGATGCTACTTCCAGATAACTCTATCTAGTTGACTGAGAATCTTCATCAGAAGTGGTATTCAGCCGGTTCGGACTAATTTCGGCGAACCGGTAGTGGCGACCTGCGAGTGGGCCCGCCCACCAGCCCATCCGCCCTGGCGCTATGCCATCCTGTTTAGCCATGTTTTCTAAGCTGTGTGCATGCATGCAAGCCACACACTCGAGCAAAGAGGATGCATGGAAGGTGTGCAAGCACATTTTCAGTGCGTGGCGAACCGGTGTTAAAATTACGTGAAACCCACCTCTCATCTTCATCAACATACAAGCTATTACTAAGTCATAAATCAGAAGCAACTTACTCCATAGTTTTCTTTCAAGATGACTGTAATCCCCATGTTTTGATCCCAAGTCAGGGAGATTCTCCCTCGTCCCAGTATCAGAATATAGTAGCGGCCAGACTTCAAAATTTCCATGTTGCCTTGTTCTCTCGGAGGGGTGAGGACATTAATCTTCATGAGGAAAAAAAAGAAAGAAAGAACTTTCAACAATGGGAGTCCACGTCAGCCTCTAATAAGGGTTTGATTTCAACTTTAATGAACGGTAGAATATCCCACAGGGCAAGAGACGTTAATTCCATTGTGACAAAAATGTACAGGTTGTTAATGTCAGGATTCCAGGTAACAACCCCAACGAAAGAAGACTCCGAGGCTTGAGGTTCCTCAAAGTTCCATTTTATTAGAGATGTCATATTGGCACATCTGGGAAAACCCGAATCTGAAAGCTTCCAGGTTTTCCCCACCCGAAGGAAAGTTCAAGTCAGTGATGAAATCCAATTGTTTTTACTACCGGTTTTGTGGGCGTGGCTTGATGGGCATAGCAGGGGAAGGATATTGCAAAATCTCCATTCCCTCCCAACTCCTGGGGGAAGGATACTGCAAAATCCCCATTCCCGCCCCACTCTGGGCCAGCCAGAGGTGGTATTTGCCGGTTCGAACTACTCAAAATTTCCACTACTGGTTCTCCAGAACCTGCAGGATTTCACCCCTGGTTCAAGTCCCTGCCCAACACCCACATGTCCATCACATGGTCCAATCAAAACACCATCCCAACTGGAGATGCTTCCCAGTTCCAGCCCTCCAGGTGCAGGGCAAGATGTCCTTGACTCTCTGAGAAAGGAATGTTATTATGACTACATATCACCCTGGCTCCATACAATCCCCCCTCCTAGTTTCCCACAGCAGTAAAGGTGGCAGGCCTGAAGATCCAATGAAAAAGATGGCATTCCAGGCCTGACACAGGTATTCCTTGACTTACAACCATTTGTTTAGTGACTGTTTGAAGTTACAACGGCACTGAGAAATGTGATGTACGGCCATTTTTCACATGACCGTTGCAGCCTCCTCATGGTCACGTAATCAAAATTCGGACACTCAGCAACTGACTCATCGTGATGATGGTTGTGATCTCCCGGGATCATGTGATCCCCTTTTGCGACCTTCTGACAAGGAAAGTCAATGGGGAGGCCGGATTCACTTAACAACCATGCTACTAACTGAACGAGTGCAGTGATTCGCTTAACAACGGTGGCAAGAAAGGTTGTAAAATGGGGACAAATTCGCTTAATAACTAGCTTGCTTAGCAAGGGAGGTTTTAGGCTCAATTGTGGTCACATGTCGAGGACTATCTGTTTACAAGCTCCAATTTTGAATCAAGTGGGCACAATGAGAATATATCTGCTGAACAAAACTCCGCACTGGTGACAGGAAGGGCATCTGGCCATTAAACATTCTGCTAGCTCCGTTCAGTTGCCCAGACTTGACCTCGCAAGGGATTATGGGGTCATTAAAAGATGATGATTTTGAAGCAAGTGTTTCAAATGCCACGGCTCTCATCCCTCAATAGACTTAAGCATGAAAATTTTGTCTCTCTGAAGACCCAGCAGTGGGAAATATTTTGCTCAAGGATCTGACCAGTTTCAACAGACGTCCCTCTGGAGCCCTCTCAAAAGAATCCTTCGAAACCCCCTCTTCGACAAGTGAGCCTGTGGAGACAATGAGGGAGGGGGTAAACTTACTTCTCCACCATGCAGCTCGATCTCTCCCCCGTCAAACAAAACCGTGATCCTTCGAGTGCACGTCTCTCCCGTAAAGCTGCATCCTTCCTTGGCCACGAGTATCCGAAAAGACCCAGCCCCATCATCTTCACAGTAGTCCTGGAAAAGAAAGAAGGAGTGACAGCAGCCTTTTGAAATCGGCCTACGGAACTCCATCTTCAAAATGTCCCTCTCCGGAGGTTGCAATGGAAGCTTAAAGCAGGGTTCCCGGAACTGAGTTCCGTGGAACCAGAGCAGAGGTGGGTTTCAGCAGGTTCTGACCAGTTCTGGAGAACCGGTAGCGGACATTTTGGGTAGTTCAGAGAACCGATAGTAAAAATTCTGACTGGCTCCGCCCACATCTCTTCTCTGCCTCCCAAGTCCCAGCTGATCGGGAGAAAATGGGGATTTTACAGTATCCTTCCCCCTGCAGTGGGGACGGAATGGAGATTTTGCAGTATCCTTCACCTGCCATGCCCAGCAAGCCATACCACGCCCACTGAGCCACACCCACAGAACTGGTAGTAAAAAATTTTGAAACCCACCACTGAACCAGAGGATTTCCAGAAAAGAATCGTAGGGATTCCGTGGGGGAAAAAAAATCTCAAAAATCAACTTTAAAAATGGGTTTTAAAATAAAACCGGGCAAGGCCAGCTAAACTTGGCCTGAAATAAAGGTTTGTGGTTATATTTCCAATGTTTTCCCGCAATCTCCAAACCTACTACGTTATGCAAAATGCTCAGACAATAGGAGTAAATGAAAGTTGTAGGTTCAAAATGCCTACCGTGTTTTCCCGAAAATAAGACCCTATCTTATATATATATATATATATATTGGCCTTATTTTTGGGGAGGTCTTATTATTTTGGGGCGCATGGAGGAAACTAGAGGAAATGGTGGGGACCGGCTGCACATGCATTTAAATATTTTTGGAGAGGGCTTATTTTCGGGGGGAGGGAGGCTTATTTTAGTGCATGTGCTGAAAAGCCCGATTGGGCTTATTATCAGGGGATGTCTTATTTTAGGGGAAACAGGGTAGTAAAAATCAGGGTTGGTCGGTCAGTTTGTCTGTCTGTCTGTCTGTCTGTCTGTCTGTCTGTCTGTCTGGATGGATGAATGGATGAATGGATGAATGGATGAATGGATGAATGGATGAATGGATGAATGGATGAATGGATACATACATACATACATACATACATACACACACACACACACACACACATACATAGGATTCTGTGGGGGAAAAATGTCTTCTGAAAGTTTCCATGACTGAAAAAGTTTGGGAACCGCTGGTCTAAAAGGATAACAGAATAACAGAGTTGGAAGGGACCTTGGAGGATTAGACTTTGGTTTTGAAGCTACCCATTCTCCAAAACTCTGAGGGGCTTAAAAAGGTTAAAATCATCCAAGTACAAATAATATATCAATAACACGCAACAGGGATAAATCATTAAAATCGGGCTGGAAGGGACTTTGGAGGTCTTCTAGTCCAACCCCCTGCTTAGGCAGGAGATCCTCTGCCGTTTCAGACAAATGGCTGTCCAATCTCTTCTTAAAAACTTCCAGTGATGGAGCAGCCACAGAAATTTCCTGACAGTGAGAACAATTAACCAGTGGAACGACCTGCCTCCAGAAGTTGTGGATGCTCCAACACTGGAGGTTTTTAAGAAGAGACTGGACAACCATTGGTCTGAAGTGGTGTAGGGTTTCCTGCCTGAGCAGGGGGTTGGATTAGAAAATCTCCAAAGTTTCTTCCGGCCCGATTCTAATGATTTGTCCCTGTTGCGTGTTATTGATATATTATTTGTACTTGGATGATTTTAACCTTTTTAAGCCCCTCAGAGTTTTGGAGAATGGGTAGCTTCAAAACCAAAATCTAATCCTTGGGATTTTTTGGTGCAATCCTTGGGAGTCAAACCTTGACTTTCATGAATCTGCTTTCCTCCCTTTTCTCAACGGTTGACCATGAAGAGCACAAAGATCTGAGCTTCGTTGAAGATCCCCAGCTAAGTAACTTGATGTGAAACCTGCAGTGATGTCTATTACTTCTGACAACATTGCTAAAGCAGTTCAAGAAAAGCAATATTTTCATTCTGTGTATTTTTACTCTCGGTATGAGCCAAGCCGCCTCTGCATTTCCCCTTAGAGCAGGGGTGTCAAATTCGATTTCGTTGAGAACTGCATCAGGGTTGGGTTTGACTTCGGGGGGAGCACGGGGGGCACCTGTGGTAGCCAAGTGCTAAGGCAAGACTTCCCTGAGAGCCTCCCTCACTCTCATTATAATCTCCTTCCTTCCTTCCTTCCTTCCTTCCTTCCTTCCTTCCTTCCTTCCCTTCCTTCCTTCCTTCCTTCCTTCCTTCCCTCCTTCCTCCCCTTCCCTTCCTTTCCTTCCTTTTCTTCTTTTCCTTCCCTCTTCATTCTCCTTTCTTCTTCCATTCCTTCTTTCCTTCTATTTCCTTCCTTCCTTCCTTCCTTCCTTCCTTCCTCCCTCCCTCCCTCCCTTCCCTTCCCTTCCCTTCCTTCCCTTCCTTTTCTTCTTTTCCTTCCCTCTTCATTCTCCTTTCTTCTTCCGTTCCCTCTTTCCTTCCTTCCTTCCTTCCTTCCTTCCTTCCTTCCTTCCCTTCCCTCCTTCCTTCCTTTCCTTTTCTTCTTTTCCTTCCCTCTTCATTCCTTCCCTCTTTCCTTCTATTTCCTTCCTTCCTTCCCTTCCTTCCTTCCTTCCTTCCTTCCTTCCTTCCTTCCTTCCTTCCCTTCCCTTCCCTTCCCTTTCCTTTCCTTTCTTTCCCTCCCTTCCCTCCCTTCCCTTCCCTTCCTTTCCCTTCCCTTCCCTTCCTTCTTTTCCTTCCCTCTTCATTCTCCTTCCGTTCCCTCTTTCCTTCTATTTCCTTCCTTGCTCTCTTCCCATCTTCCCTTCTTTTTCTTTTTCTTTTCTCTTTCCCTTTCTCCTTTCCTGTTACCTTCTTGCATGCTCAAATACGAAAGGCAAAAACATTTTAGTTTGTTTTGCTAGCCCTCTGCCAGTGAAAATGGAGCCCGGGCCCCATTTTCACCCACGACGGCCTCCTGCAGCCCTCTGCCAGTAAAAATGGAGCCCCCCCCCTCCCAAACTCTGTTTCTGCTGGCAGAGGCACCACAGGCTGGTCCTTTGCTGTTTCCAGAGCGGCCCCACGGGCCAGATCCGTCCTGCGGGCCTTGAGTTTGATACCCCTCCCTTAGAGCATCCCATCCCAAAAGTCTTACCTGAACAAGCACATACTGACAACTGCCAGGAAACCTGTACTTCAGTCCGTCGAAGGTCAAATAATGAGCGGCACCGATGACAGAACATTTTCCATCGCAGACGTTTTCCGTGCATTCCCATTTTCGAGCACGGCAGGTGCTGCAGAAGATTAACAGCTATTACCGTTTTGGCACATCACTCAAACTCTGTTTTGTATGTTGATGTTAGGATGAAAGTTGTGTCTCTGCTTTGGAGAAAACACAAATCACCTGGAACTTCGTAACTTCTGGTCAGGTGGCCTCTGTTTAATCCTACTCAATGGGCATTTTCAGAGGTCAAATTTGCCTCCAGGGATCATCTCTAGTTTTGCTGTGACTTGGTCATTCCAAAAAGCACCAGAGAAGTGAACCTCTGAAACAGCCAGTATTGCTTACAGCACAACAGGTTTTAAGAGCTAAACAAAGTTGTGTGTTCTGCCCCCAGCTACAGACCCCAAGTAGCTGTACAAACCTTAGTTTACTAAATTAAATCGGTCTTTTTCAAATAAAGGCTGTTAATTAACTTTCTTAACAGCCTACAAAAATCCAAAGAATAATCATAATCTTACTATGGTTGGCAGAAAGCCCAGAAGCAATTTGCAGGAAGCTGATAAGAGAACTGAGGTCAAGACACGAAGGAGAGTAAACGAAGTTGTTCCCTGGAAATTGCCTCAGTCATCGTCCTTCTTTAAATAGGCTAAGGGAGTGGCCAATTAGCCCCAAGCCTTACTCTCGAGGAGACCTCCTCCTGAGGAGCCACTCCTGCCTTTTGGCAGCTCTGCACGCCGGTGCATTGAGAAGAGGCTCCTCTTCTTTGTCCTCTTCACTTAAGGGAGCTTCTGGAGGTTCTGAAGGCCCTGGCTGAATCCCCGCCTCTTCTCCAGCCTCCTCATTGTCAGACTTGAGTGCCAGCTGCACAGGCTGCTGATGCAGCACCACACCAGCCTCCTCGCTGTCGGAATCAGCTACTAGCTGCACAGGCCACTGACAACACTGTGAAACGTTTCTTGCCCACCTCATTCGCTTTTCTGAGAGCATTTCCCCCAAATCTCTAGCGGGGTTTTATTTTAGTTTAGAGCCATGGTAGTGCAGTGGATACAATGCAGTATTGCATACTATTCTGGCAACTGCCAGCAGTTCGATCCTGACTGGCCCAAGGTTGACTCAGCCTTCTGTCCTTCCGAGCTCGGTAAAATGAGAACCCATATTGTTGGGGGCAATAGCATGATTTTGTAAACTGCTTAGAGAGGGCTGTAAAGGACTGTGAGGTGGTATATAAGTCTAAGGGCTAGCGCTATTGCTATTCTGAGGAAAGACAGTCTAGAGGAAGTTGACCTTCCTTGGATTTCTCAAGATTCAGAACCTCTACATCCAACCCCAAAAGATTTGAGGATCTTGTCTACGATATCTCATGGAGCTTTGGAGGCAAAATGTCCTCTTCTCCCTTCCTCATGGCTCTGTGGAAGTGATTTATCACTTATAGCTTTTATGTACACTGAGAGCTTATGCACCGAAGACTTGTGTGTCCAATCACACTTGGCCAATAAAGAATTCTGTTCTGTTTTGTTCAGTTCTGTTTTTCTGCTCTGCTCTGCATGCTATGCTATGCTATGCTATGCTATGCTATGCTATGCTATGCTATGCTATGCTATGCTATGCTATGCTATGCTATGCTATTCTCTATTCATTTCCCTGCATTTTGTAGGCAAGGAGTTAAGGAGAGTCAGACAAAACACCTATCCACTGACCAGGGCTCTCCCTGGTGGTGCAGTGGTGAAAGTGCAGTATTGCAGGTAAACTCTGCCCACAGTCTGGAGTTTGATCCTAACCGGGCTCAAAGTTGACTTAGGCTTCCATCCTTCCGAGGATAGCAAAATGAGGACCCGGAATTGTTGGGGGGAATATGCAAATATTCTATATTGTAAACCACCCAGAGAGAGTGCTGAAAAGAGATATCGGGAAGTACTTAAGTCTAATGCTATGGCTACTGCTATTGGTATAGCATTGCAGGAGTCACTCTGCTTTAAATAAAAAAAAAAAAATGACCCAGGACTCGTCCAGAGAGTGTGCTTCTCTTTACTCAAAATTGAAGAAGAACTAATGGAAAAGAAGACAGGTTGATTCTCTGCTCAGCCCTATGTAACTTTCGTTCCCTTTTTTCTAAGGAAGAGGGAGACGGTTAACACACTGTTCGTCAATGTTTGTTGTAAATAGCCTATGTTGTCTGTTCATTTCTATACATGGATTGTCTATGGCTGTTGTGGTCCACCAGCAGCCTGCAGAGCTGGCAGTGGAGTCAGACAGTGAGGAGGCTGGGGAGGACAATGGGCCAGTCCTGGAGTCAGGGGGAGGCCCGTATGAGGGCTCTGCATCGGAGGCAGAGATGGGGCCAGGGCCATCTGGGAGTGATGTGCGGACTCCGGAGCCTCCAGAGACGGACAGCAGAGAGGCAGAGGAACAGGAGGAGCCTGTTCCTAGTGCACGTATGAAAAGAGCTGCCAGAAGGCAGGAGCAGATAAAGCAGAGAGGACGACTTGGTAGTAAGGCAAGGAGATGATTGGCCCCTCCCATAAGGCTTAAAAGAGCAGCAACGAGCCGTTGGGTTCTTTGTAGAAAAGCAATGTTGATTCCAGTGCTTCTTGTCAGCGTCTCTTGAGCTTTGTGGGGGTTTTGCCAAGAAAAGCCTTTGGCCGGTTGCCAAAGACATCAAAGGTTGTTAATAAGGCCGATGGACTGGTTATTAAGAATTTTGTTTTGGGAGATCAACATCAAAGAGGTTAGTGTCAACTTTTTTTACGCAGGTCGCCCTCAGGAAGTGAGGGGAGCCGAATGTCAACTTGCAAAGCTTTCAGGTTGCCATAAGCAGGAGGGAGGGAGAACTGATAGAGCTGATTAATTTCCCTAACTGAAGCTACATTCCATACATGCTTTCTCTCCGCAATCAGAAGGAGGGTGTTGGATTTCACAGCCAGCCAAAGTGGTTAATTGGAGAATGTGATTTATGATTTAGGCCAGGGAGGAGGGGAGAGACAGGGTCATAGAGGAACGTAAATCTACGTGGGATTAGTTCTAACTGCATCCGAATATTGCCGAAATGGTGCTCCTAATAAATGACTGTATTTCTTTTGAAGTTTGGCTCATGGCTCATGAATTAATTAGGGCATCTTTCGGAAACTTCACAGTTAGCTCCTTACCATGTGTTGCAGTCTTTTATCACTGTTTGTCCTGGTGCATATTCCTGTCCGTTGTGGAAACAGGGGCAATTCTCAGGGACCATGCATTTGTTTCCATGTCGCACCTAGAATGGAAATAGATGGATATTTAAACTTTTATACCCAATGAAATTTATACAGCTGCAGAAAAACCCAGGAGAACAAGCATTATCTGCAAGCTAACGGAGATCACAAATGATTCTTGTTCTAGCAATAGCAATAGCACTTATATACTGCTTGACATCGCTTTACAGCTCTCCCTAAGCGATTTACAGAGTCAGCATATTGCCTTCAAACAATCTGGGTCCTCATTTTACCAACTCTAGAAGGATGGAAAGCTGAATCAACCTTGAGCCTGGTGAGATTCGAACTGCCAAATTGCAGGCAGCCGGCAGTCAGCATAGGTAGCCTGAAGCAGTGGTGGGATTCAAATAATTTAACAATCGGTTCTCTGCCCTAATGACCAGCTGGGTGGGGGTGGCCATGGTGGGTGTGGCCAGGGGGTGTGACAAGCAGCACTCGGCCTCCTGCACCCCCCTGGGAGCAAAAACGGGCAGCAGGGGAGGGGATGCATCTCCCCCCGCACCCCATTTTGGGCTTAGTAGGCCTCCCTGCAGCCTCCTGGGAGTGAAAATGGGCCATGGGGAGGTACTGTACCTCCTGTGCCCCCTTTTAGGCCTAGTAGGCCTCCCTGCACTTACCTGGGACCAAAAATGGGGGCATGGGGACTCCTGGAAGGGGCGGGGTGGGGAGGGGCATTGCCAGTGTTAGGATATGGTTTAAGCCTAACAGGTTGTTCAGGCAATATATGTGTTCTATAACTTTAAATGTATTCTGTAACTTTAAGATGTAATGCTGAGTAATTGTACTGATGAGTCATTGTAACTGACTGCTGACTGACTGCTGACTGCAATTATCCTAATTGTACTGTTGAGTCATTGCACTGCTGACTTCACTTATCTTAAGTGGATAATTACTAGTGTAAACTGTATATAAGAAGGGAGCTGAGCGATAGTCATTGTTGGACCTGCTCTCATCATTGTTGGACCTGCTCTCATCTTTGTTGGACTTGCTCTCATCATGGATGGATCTGCTACCATCGTGATTTGTTACCAGCGTTGAATTGCTATTTATTACCTACTGCTGTTTTTGTATGGTAAGAAGTTTTCTGTAACTCCGGACTGATTTGAATGGCTAAAGACTTGGATTGACTAAAAGACTATGCAACTGTTTTTCACTACAAAGTAAAAAACTTTGTTAAACCAGTTTGTATGAATTGTATTCATTGCTCTCAGTACCGTTTCTCTGTGCATTTGCTCTGCTGGTTGGTTAACACAACAATATCCTTAACTGCCAGGCAGCATTTTAACTACCGGTTCACCTAAACTGGTCCAAACCGGTTGAATCCCACCACTAAGCAACTCAGCCTGGTGACCTAATTCTTTTTAAAAAGTCATTATAGTGTCATTCCAATATGAAGAGTAGAGAAGATCTGTTTCCCTCCTCAGCTATTTATCAAGGCTCCCCTTACAATATTCCTATGCTGGCAAGTAGACTAATTCACCATTGGCTTCATTGATTGAATTAAGCGCACGCAGTTTAGTGAATTCACATTTGTAAAAACGAAATCAAATTAAGAAATCAAATTAATTCAATAAAGCATGTTTCAATAATGAATTACATCTCAATCATTTGTCTGCTGAACGAATTGAAAAATTGGCCAGGTTGATGGAACACAGTAAATCATAAATAGTAATGGACAACCTTCAATGGGTAGAGCTGAAATTAAAGAGGTTCCAGACTATGGATGGACACCAAAAATGGAAAAGGATCTGCTGTTGTTTCACAAAAATGTCTTTGAAAATTAGTGTTAAAACAGGAATAAAGCAAATGTAAATGCACTTCAACCTGCATTTACTCTAGTGCTGACACAATCATTTTTTAAAAAATTAACTGTGTGATGATTTTGGTGGTTCTTCATAAAAATAAATGAAGAATGTATTGTTCATCTCAGCTAAAGGTATTAGTAGCGATATGACACTGCCTTCTTCCTAGGTTGAGAGAGAGAGAGACTGGCTCAAGGTCACTCATCTAGCTTCATGCTGTAGAAAGTTAGCACCTACCCGTCTCCTAGATGAATGAAATATTTTGAGAAATATGAAGATGGCAGAATATTATATTTCCCTGGATGAGAAATGAAGAAACATGCTCTTGGAAAGCAGCCCCCACCTTCCTTAATAGCCCACAGCAGATGTAAGAGATAAAGAGATAGCTAGTTCTATTCATAAGCAAATAGCCCTCACTCAAGAGCCAACAAAAGTAGGATTAGCCCTCAGCCACAATAGGAATTGCCCAATGCCCTTTCAGTACACAAGCCTTTTCATTGCATCATCTCAGCAGTCCAAACTTCAACCAAACCTGGAAACTCAGACAACCTATAGAGCCACCTATGGCCCCTACATAACCCCTACAACAGCCAATAGAATACATGTTCTTGCACAGGAACAGGAAGTTCAAGTGCAAAGCCCAAGAGAAGGTATAAAAGCCACCCACTCTCTCAACTCCATGTGGTCCATGCTGCACCAGAATCACACGTCCTTAATGGTTCTGCGTCATCATTAAACCATCTTTCCAATCAGCCTCCATGTTTCCAGTGTCTTTCTCCCGGCTTGGAACTGAACCAGATGGATATTTCTTCCAACAATGCTTAAGGTTGGACTAGAACTCCCAGTCTCCCGGTTTCTAGACTAGTGCCTTAAATACCCCAAACCAGCTCTCCCCTTTCCAACCTTTTCCAAGTCTTAAAATCACACCGTTCCACAATGACTCTCCTAGGTGGCAGCATCTAGCCAACCTTGCAATTTAGGTTATGTTAGTGACAATTTTAGGGACGTGATGGCTCAGTGGCTAAGATGCTGAGCTTGTCGATCGAAAGGTCGGCAGTTCAGCAGTTCGAATCCCTAGTGCCGCCTAACGGGGTGAGCTCCCGTGACTTGTCCCAGCTTCTGCCAACCTAGCAGTTCAAAAGCACGTAAAAAATGCAAATAGAAAAATAGGGACCACCTTTGGTGGGAAGGTAACAGAGTCCCATGTGCCTTTGGCATTTAGTCATGCCGACCACATGACCACGGAGACGGCTTCGGACAGCGCTGGCTCTTCAGCTTTGAAACGGAGATGAGCACCGCCCCCTAGATTCGGGAACGACTAGCACATGTGCAAGGGGAACCTTTACCTTTACCTAGTGTCAATTTGTACCTGGTTTGAAGACTATCCAAACTGCCAGGGTCATAGCCTAGTCCCATATCGGCGGGCACGCGAGTGTTGCCCTAGCTCAGCTCCAGTGCGCGCATCTGATTTTCGGGCCTTCTGGGCTCACTGGAAGTCGGCAAACGGGTCATTTCCAGCCTCCAGAGGGCCTCCGGGGCAATGGGGAAGTCCCACTTTTGCCCTCCCCAGGCTCCTAGAAAGTCTCTGGAGCCCAGGGAGGGCAAAAAACGGGACTTCCGGGCCCACTGGAAGTCGGCAAATGGGCTACTTCCGGCCTCCAGAGGGCCTCTGGTGGGGGTGGGGAAGGCCATTTTCACCCTCTCCAGGCTCCAAGAAAGCCTCTGGAGCCTGTATTCTGTCCCCGTCCCACACACGCACCCCCACAGACGGCCCGGAGTTAATAAGCCACACGACAGAATCTTTGAAGATAAAGCTGGCAGCAACCCAGTGGCTAGGTGCCAATTCAGACTTTACTCACACAAAACAAAGATTAGACTGCAAGCATTCCGATAAAGCAGGCAAAGTTTCAACAATACAAGGATTAGTCCAAATGCAATCCGACAAGGCAGGCAGAAGTCCAGTAACGCAGAGATCATGAATTATTTCTAGTTTTTGCTCGTCACAAACTGAACCGGCCACCACACCCACATTTATACCCTGTGGGGTGTGGTCCAGTGACTCAGCTAATCTCTGGCACGTCTTCCCCTCTGCTGCGCACGCTTCTCCCTGCACCGCGGGTCCAGCCAGCACTTATCTACTTCGTCGCTGACCACCTGTGGCTGCGGGGACGTGCTTGGCTCTGAGCCTATCTTTTGGCCTTCGGTGTCCTCCAGAGGCATTGCCAGAGAGAAGAGTCCTGGAGAGGGAGGCCTTGCCAACTCCTCTCCTTCACTCTCAGAGTCTGCATCTGTCGATAGCCCAGGCTCAGGCAATGGAGCCACAACAGCCTGGGGAGGGCGAAAAATGGGCATACCGTGCCCACCGTGCCATCGCATACCAAAAGCGGGGGGGTCACGTACGCATGCGTGGGGGGGTGGGGCGCTTTGAATTATAGGTATGGGCACACACGCACACGACCCCCTCCCCGTGTTCTCTCTGCTTTTGGCATGCGACGGCAAAAAGGTTAACCATCACTGGCCTAGTCTAACTAAGTTGAAAATAGCTAACACATCTGTATGATGTCATGCTCAAGTCTGTTCATGCAACCGTCCTCCAACCTTATTTCATAATTAGATTTTTTTTAAAAATGTTATTCCATTCTTGTGCAGAAACTGTTCCGTTAATTAGAAAAACACTGAATCTACTGATGATTTGGTTTTAGTAATATTGGACATTGTAAGAGCATCTGGCCATGGTTGGAGGGTTATTTGACATATTAAATGACTAATTATAAGTCCAGCTCAAAGCTCTGGATCAACGAATCTCTATAAATGAGAAGCACAGCCGGTTAAAAAAAATTTGAACGATGATCTGCAGCCTGAAGCAACTAATGAGATTTTAATTCCTTTGGATGTTCTGAACCTTCTCTAAAAAAATTCCCCGTCGTTTTTGACACACAGGGATACCAAAAGCTGCAATATTTCCTAATTGCTCCTAAGTTTTAAAGCAGAGAAGCAAACTCTGGAAGTTGGACAGAGTGAAAAAAGGTGAACAATATTGCCCTCTAGTGTCCATAAAATTCTACTTCTACTTTATCAATTTGGGTCCCATCAGAAGGGGAACATTTACCTTTACCTTTATCTAGTCAACTAACAATCAGCGCTAAAGTGGATCTAGGTAAGACTTAATGGAACTCAAGAGGGGTTGGACAGGGATCACTTGTGGCAACGTAATGATTCCAATCTGATTCCTGTATTGACTCCGCCCCAGGCTCTGCCTCTTGTTCTACACAGTTACTTCGTCAGGAATTTCAGTTGCTATTACTTAGTGTTATAGTTTGCTATTTTATTATGTCATTTTTTTTTTGCATTTTAATTATTTTACTGTAAGACAGAAATGCACGCCCCTCAGATCCCTGCTGGATAGGAGGGGCATATAAAGGCTAGAAGAATAAGTACTGTGTTTCCCCAAAAAATAAGACCCTGTCTTATATTTTTTGCCACCAAAAAAAGGCACCAGGTCTTATTTTTTGGGGGGCTTGTTGTCCACTGACTCACTCAGATTGCCAGATTGATCCCGAGCTCTGTTATCAGCTACAGAGGCCTTCAGGAAAGCCTTGCCAGCAGAAGAAATGGGCCAAAGTGTGAGAGGCCTGACTGCAACTATCTGAAGGTAAGTAGTAGGACAACTCCACCACTCTCATACCCACCCTAGCTTAATTTTTACCTGTGCACCCTAGAGTGGTGGGGATCTTATTTTGGGGGACTTATTTGGGGAGTAGGGCTTATATATCAGAAGGGGCCCGCAACTTGGGCGTCCTCCTGGACGCGCGGCTGTCTTTAGAAGGGCATATGACGGCCGTGGCCAGGGGGGCTTTTTATCAGGTTCGCCTGATACGCCAGTTGCGCCCCTTTCTGGATCGGGACTCCCTACACACAGTCACTCAAGCACTCGTCACCTCTCGTCTGGATTATTGTAATGCTCTCTACATGGGGCTCCCCTTGGGGTACACCCGGAGGCTCCAACTGGTGCAGAATGCGGCCGCGCGGGGGCTTATGGGAGCGACGGGGCGTTCCGATGTGACTCCTCTCCTGCGCGAGCTGCATTGGCTTCCGGTGGACTTCTGGGTGCACTTCAAGGTGTTGGTGATCACCTTTAAAGCGCTCCATGGCTTAGGGCCAGGGTACTTACGGGACCATCTTCTGCCACCAATTGCCTCCCACCGGCCAGTTCGCTCCCACAGAGAGGGCCTCCTCAGGGTGCCGTCGGCTAGACAATGCCGGCTGGCGACCCCCAGGAGGAGAGCCTTCTCTGTGGTGGCACCTACCCTCTGGAACAATCTACCCCCAGAGATACAAGTGATCTCCGACATCCGGACCTTTCGTCGGGCCCTAAAAACTCATCTCTTTCAGTTAGCCGGTCTCTCTTGATTTTATGGTTGGTTTTAAATTTTGATATGGATTTTAAATTGATAAATTTTAAACTATGGGCCAAATTTAATTATTTTAAATCTATTTTTAATCGTACTTATGTATAAATGTTTTTATTTTGGCTGTTCACCGCCCTGAGTCCGAAAGGAGAAGGGCGGTATAGAAATTCGAATAATAAATAAATAAATAAATAAATATCGGGCGCACATGTAAAAATCAAGCTACGGTTTACTTTCTAAGTAAGTTGCCCTGCTGCCTCCTGCACAATTTTTCTTGAATAACCTCAACTTTCTTACCCATCCAGTCGGGCAAAGGCAACCCGAGATGCATCCGTGACTGACGCAACCCAGATCGTAATTCTGACAGGTCTTCATACATTCCACTCCTTTCACTCTTGGGTCATTTGCCGGACAGACAAACGTGGTCATCGGATGCTTGCAAGAGACACTCCGTTTTGCTTTAAGGTAAGAAAGAAAGAAGGGCACGGTCAGTCCATGAGAAATCCTTACAAAGACATAGAAAGGTCCAACGATGTTACAGTAAGACGACTGCAGTGGCAAATACGCAATTGCACTGCTGATGGTAAAACTGCTAAACAATGTGTGTTGAAAAGATATTAAGTTATTAAAGGTAAAGAGAAAATCAGATACAAAAATAGAAATGTAACATAGAATTGGAAGGAGTCCCCAACAAAATACAGCACATTTTACCATGTTTCCCCAAAAATAAGACCCTGCCTTCTATATATATATATTTTAATCCTGAAATAAGTGCTTGGCTGTATTGCCATGCACTCAAAAGCCTGATTGGGCTTATTATCAGGGGATGTCTTATTTTGGGGAAAACAGGGTAATAGGATTTTTGTTTCTTTTAATGACCCTGTAATTGCTTGCATCAGGGTGGAGTCAGGTAATTGAATGAAGCTGTATTTACTGGCCAGATGCCCTTCCTGACACCTAGGCGCAGTTCACAGCAGATATTTTCTCTTTGCACCCAGAGAGAGAAATATCTATTTCTCCATCCATTCATTTATTAGATTTTTATTTTCTTTGTGTGTGTATGTGTGTCTACACACACACACACATATATTGGCAGGGATAAGCACCCCTAACCCCAGGCCTGGGAACAACATCTGTGGGACCTCTGGAACATTTGAAATAAAGAAAGCTAAGAATCCGCACATCTTTTATGCTCCTAATAAATCCATAATCACGAGGGGCTTTTTCCTGTTTTCACATATTGAGCATTGGATATTATTTTCTGCAGAGATAAGGGTGCAGCTAGACAAACTAGCATGGTCATATATAAACTTCAGGGAAACTACACTATTTTTTTAATAAAAAGATGATTTTTTTTCCTTAGTAACTTTTGATGCACTACTATAAAGATGAGTGGAAGAATATACTGTAAGTTTCTGATTTTAAAAAAAAATTTAAACTTCAAGCTTTCAAGGCAATGGTCTCCTTTTCAAAGTTCATCTAAGGACATTTTTTTTGTTTAAGTCATCATGAACAAAAGAAAGAAACCATTATTTCCATACATGAAAGAAAAGTAAAATCAACTCAGCAGAAGCAATTCTTGAAAAACAAAAAGATAAAAAGTTATAAGAGGAAGAAGAAGAAGAAGAAGAGGAAGAGGAAGAGGAAGAGGAAGAAGAAGAAGAAGAAGAAGAAGAAGAAGAAGAAGAAGAAGAAGAAGAAGAAGAAGAAGAAGAAGAAGAAGAAGAAGTAGTAGTAGTAGTAGTACTAGGAGTAGGGGGAGGAGAAGGAGAAGGAGAAGGGGAGGAGGAGGAGGAGGAGGAAGAGGAAGGAGGAGGAGGAGAAGAAGAAGAAGGAGGAGGAGGAGAAGGAGAAGGAGAAGGAGAAGAAGAGAAAAGAAAAAGAAAAAATTAATAAGAGAAAATTTAAAGTAGAGAAAAGGCTAAAAGGAAGCCATAGCAAAAATTCCAACCAATTATTATTTATTTATTTATTATTATTTTATTCAATTTGTATACTGTCCTTCTACTAATGGACTCAGGGCGGTGCACAGCCAGAACTAATTTAAAACATTTCAAAAGGTAGACAAATAGTAGTGTTCTTTTAAATAAAAATTCAAGGATTAGTGGTAATAAACAGTATTTTAAAAAAAAAACTCTAACTCCTTCAACTTAAATGTTCATTTAGACTGAAGTTTAATTTTACTGAAGTCCTGGATCCAGTTTTTTTTTAAATCAAAATTAATTCACAGCAAAGCTTCTCCAAAAGCCACGCTCCTCCCTCCGTGTAAAATAAGAAGCCAATAACAGAAAGGAAGACAGAAAAACAAAAAGAGATGCACATGTTCAAAAAGCAGACTTACCTCTGGCAGAACGATGATTTTGGAAGAGAACATCTGGGAGGAAACTTCCTGGAAGTCTTTGGGAGCTGCAATGCATGATGCCATTTTCACAATAGCTGGAAAGAGAAAGGAGCAGAAGGCTTTAAAAACTAATGGCCATGTCTTCCTTAACCACTGTGGCCTTTCCTGGTTGACTTCTGGGGTCAGTGACCTTCAGCCCTCAAAAACTGCCAGTTCTTTAGAGGCCAAACATATTTTTTTGCAGAAATGCTGGGAAAATGCTGGCATTGTACAGCAGGACAATGTCCTACCTGTCAATGACTACTTCAGCTTCAACCGCAACAATACACGAGCACACAATAGATGCAAACTTAAGATAAACTGCTCCAAACTTGATTGCAGAAAATACGACTTCAGCAACAGAGTGGTCAACGCCTGGAATGCACTACTTGACCCCGTTGTTACATCCTCAAACCCTCACAGCTTCAACCTTAAACTGTCTACCATGGACCTCACCCCATTCCTAAGAGGTGCGTAAAGAGGGCATGCATAAGTGCACCAGCGTGCCTACCGTCCCTGTCCTACTGTCCCCATTTATTTTTACTCCTTTCATGTGCTCATGTCCATGTTTATACTTATACCTGTTATTTTTATTTTATTTATTTATTTATGTTTATTTTACTTTATTTTATTTTATTTTAGTTTAGTTTAGTTTAGTTTAGTTTAGTTTAGTTTAGTTTAGTTTAGTTTAGTTTAGTTTAGTTCAGTGGTGAACTTTTTTTATTTTTTTATTTATTTATGTTTATTTTAGTTTATTTTATTTTAGTGTATTTTAGTTTAGTTCAGTGGTGAAATGTAAAAGTTGTTGCTACCGGTTCTGTGGGCGTGGCTTGGTGGGGGGTGGTAATGTGACTGGGTGGGCGTGGCCAACTTTTTTTTTTTTTTTTTTACTTTTAAAAGCATTTTTTCTACAACCTCTTCGGTCGAAGAGGTTGTTAAAAAATGCTTTTAAAAGCCTCTGACGATCCCAGCTGAGCCACGCAATCATCAGAGGCTTTTTTTCTTTACTTGTAAAAGCATTTTTTTGGCCGAAGAGGTTGTAGAAAAAATGCTTTTAAAAGCCTCTGACGATCCCAGCTGAGCCACACAATCATCAGAGGCTTTTTTTTTTTTTACTTTTAAAAGCATTTTTTCGGCCGAAGAGGTTGTAGAAAAAATGCTTTGAAAATAAAAAAAAACACCCTCTGATGATCGCGCGGCTCAGCTGGGCATGGGGGGCGCGCACAGGAATTTTTGCTACTGGTTCTCCGAACCACCCTCCGCCATCATTACTGGATCAGGCAATCCAGTTCGAACCGGGAGCATTTCACCTCTGGTTTAGTTTATTGTTGTCATTGCACATGGTACAACGAAATTAAATGCCGTCTTCAGTGTACATTACAACTATAAAAATAAAAACACAAACATACATCCTTTACATTCTATATCATTGCAATTGAAAAGCCGATATTGCACTATACCGTAGAATTCAGTATGGTTATTGCCCTGGGATAGAAGCTGTTTTTCAGCCTATTTGTCCTTGTTTTTAATTATCCTGTACCATCACCCAGATGGTAATAGTTCAAAAAAAAAAGGAGGGGTACTCAGGATGAGATGGATCTTTAAGAATGTTTTGAGGAGAGGAGAGGAGAGAGGAGGGGAGGGGAGGGGAGGGGAGGAGAGGAGAGGAGAGGAGTGAATGGAATGGAATGGAATGGAATGGAATGGAAGTGGAGTAGAGGTAGATCTAAGGTGGAGTAGAGTAGAATAGAGTAGAGTAGAGTAGAGTAGAATAGAATAGAATAGAATAGAATAGAATAGAATAGAATAGAATAGAATAGAATAGAATAGAATAGTTGGAAGGGATCTTGGAGGTCTTCTAGTCCAACCCCCTGCATAGGCAGGAAACCCTATACTATTTCAGACAATAGGTAGACCCCCTCTTCTCTGTGACAGCCCCTCAAATAATGGAAGACTGCTATCATGTCATTCCTAGTCCTTCTCTTTGCTAGACAGGACATACCCAGTTCCTGAAACCATTCATCATAAATTTTGATCAGTATATAATCAAAATTGGGTGAAAGGGGACTAAGATTCGACACTTCTCCATGTGAATCCATGTGAGATGAAACCCAGGTTCCAACACTTACCACATGGTGTGGTGATCGGAGAAAACATCATCTGGCTGGAAGATCTCACCATCGTAGTAGCAAGAGCACTGGGATCTGGGCACGCAATCACCCTGCTGATCGAGGTACATCCCAAAGGGGCAAAAACAACCCTCGGTACAAAATTCACTGCAATCTGTGTCTGGATGGGCGAGAGACCGGCAGGTCCGATTGCACGGACTTCCACACTGTTGGTAAAGTTGGCCTTCTGGACAACTCATGGCTGTAAAACAATTTTTAAAAAAATGGGTCAGAAAATGCTCTGTCTTACACATTGGCAAAAAGAATCACAAAATATACAAGCTGAGTAGACACGACCTTGTAGACGACCCTCACTCTGTCAAGGACCTCGGAGTACTCATATCTAATGATCTAAGTGCCAAAACCCCCACTGTAACAACTTCGCCAACAAGGCAATTAAGAGTTGTAAACCTAATCTTGCGTAGTGTTCTGTCCCCGTCCCACACGCACACACACCAACAGACGTTCAAGAGTTAAAGACCAAACCAGCCGGCAAAATCCTTTTCCTTATGATAACGGAACTTGGCAACAACCTAGTGGCTGCCTGCCAAGAGTTTATTATTTACAAAGAGGAGAGATAACTTCTCCCCACTTCTGGTACATCAAAAGAAACAGCTCAATAATTACGGAGTCAATCAAGTCCAGAGATAATCCAGCAAAGTCTATAGCAAAAGTCCGGCATTGCAGAATGGCGTGGAAACTTTCAGCTTTGTTCATCACAAGGTTTGACTGGCCACCACGCTCCCTTTTATACCTTGTGGGGTGTGGTCCAGTGACCCAGCCTAATCTCGGGCACGCCTTTTCTTCTGTTGCACGCGCTTATCTCTGTAACGCTGGCGTGGATCCAGCCAAGACTCATTACTCTCATCACTGTCCACCTGTGGCTGCATGGACGTGCTTGGCCCCGGCCCTATCTCTTGCCCTTCGGCGGACACTGAAGGCATTGCCAAAGAGGAGGGTCCTGGAGAGGGAGGCCTTGCCAACTCCTACCCTTCACTCTCGGAGTCCTCTCTTGCCGATGACACAGGCTCAGGTAACGGAGCCACAACACGTAGCTTCTTCTCCGGTAATATTACATTACTAACCAGAGCATACAAAACATTTGCTAGACCAATTCTCGAATACAGCTCATCTGTCTGGAACCCACACTGCATATCGGACATCAATACAATTGAACGTGTCCAGAGATATTTCACAAGAGGAGTCCTCCACTCCTCTGCTTGCAACAAAATATCTTATGCTACCAGACTTGAAATTTTGGGCTTAGACAGCATAGAACTTCGCCTCCTTTCATCCGATCTAAGCGTAGTAGATTAAATTATCTGCTAAAATGTCCTACCTGTCAATGACTACTTCAGCTCCAACCACAAAAATACACAAGCACACAATAGATACAAACTCAAGGTAAACTGCTCCAAACTCGATTGCAGAAAATACGACTTCAGCAACAGAGTGGTCAATGCCTGGAATGCACTACCTGACTCTGTGGTTTCTTCCCCAAACCCCCCAAATTTTAACCTAAGACTGTCTACTGTTGACCTCACCCCGTTCCTAAGAGGTCTGTAAGGGGCGTGCATAAGCGCACCAGGGTGCCTACCGTCCCTGTCCTAATGTTTCCTCTATTTGTATACATTTTATGTATTTAAATCATGTTTATACTTATATGGAAGAGCCTTCTCTGTGGGGGCACCTACTATCTCGAACGAGCTCCCCCCGGAGATACGGAGGATCCCGGATCTGCGCACCTTCCGCCGCGCTCTTAAGACCTTTTTATTCCATCAGGCGGGCCTGGCCTAATCTTTTCCCTCTTTTTAATTATGCAAATTTTAATCGGTTTTTGAAAATGATTGGGGTTTTAACCTGTTTGGGCCAAATTGTTTAATTCGATTTTACTTTGTTTTTAAATCTTGTATCTATGTATTTTTACTGTTTGGCTGTTCACCGCCCTGAGTCCTTCGGGAGTAGGGCGGTATATAAATTAAATAAATAAATAAAATAAAATATGTATTATCTAATATGTGCTTGACTGAATGAATGAATGAATGAATGAATGAATGTTTGGAGTTACTACTCAATCAATTCATATCTAAACTTCCTCTGGAGAATGTCTATGGAGATTCTCAGTCATTCAGGTCATGGTTATCCCAAAGGTGCTTTTTTTCAAGAGGCAACTGGACTTCCTGGGATTTTTTTTTCTAGAGTCCAGTTGCCTCTTGAAAAAGCATGTATAGGACTCCTCTGGAGAACCTATTCTGTGATTCCTGGAACGTATGAATACCTTTTTGAATGATTAATCTTGAAATGCTGGGAAGAATGAAGTATCTTGGTAAAAGAGGCATTGCTTTAAGGAGAGGGATTCACATTATGACCACAATTGTGGCCAAAAATTGCCATTGCTAAGTGACACAGTTGTTAAGTGGGATTTGCTCTCTTTCGCGACCTTTCTTGCCACAGTTTATTTATTTATTTATTTATTTTATTATATTTGTATACCGCCCTTCTCCCGAGGGACTCAGGGCGGTGAACAGCCATGGTAAAAGCAATGTACAACCAAAATTAAAAGCTTATTAAAATAATTCAATCATTCGGCCAAATTTAAAACATCCAACTAAGATCATTTTAAAACCCCTATCAAAACCCAATTTAAAAAAACCTTTATCCTGTCAGTCCAGCTTGCTGGCATAATAGGGTCTTTAGAGCGCGACGGAAAGCACGGAGGTCGGGGATCCTTTGTATGTCCGGGGGCAGTTCATTCCATAGGGCCGGGCCCCCCACAGAGAAGGCTCTCCCCCTGGGGGTCGCCAGCCTACACTGTTTGGCTGACGGCACCCTGAGGAGGCCCTCTCTGTGGGAGTGTATTGGTCGGTGGGAGGCAATCGGTGGCAGAATGCGGTCCTGTAGATAACCAGGTCCTAAGCCATGGAGCGCTTTAAAGGTGGTGACCAACACCTTGAAGCGCACCTGGAAGACCACCGGGAGCCAGTGCAGCTCGCGCAAGATGGATGTTACATGGGAGCGATGAGTCGCCCCCATTATTACTTCTGCAGCTGAATTCTGGACCAGCTGGAGCCTCCGGGTGCTCCTCAAGGGGAGCCCCCTGTAGAGAGCATTACAATAGTCCAGCCGTAAATCACTGCAGTTGTTAAGCTTGTAACCCAGTTGTTAAATGAATCCAGCTTCCCCATTGATTTTGCTTGTTAGAGGTTTGCAAAATGGAATCACTTAACCCTGGGACATTGCAATCATCCTAAATTTGAGCGAAAGAAATAAATATAACCAGGTTCTCCAGCAAAAAAATAAAATAAAATAAAAACGAGCCATGATTTGAATTTTGATCATGTGACCACAGGGATGCTGCAAAGGTCATAAGTGTGAAAAACGGTCATAAGTCAGTGCTGTTGTAACTTTAAACAGTCACTAAACGAATGGTTGTAAGTTGAGGACTACTTGTCTGTAATCCATCACCAACTTTCTCTTTTTCTTCTGGGCTTCAGAATTGCTGGAACCTATCCAAGCGGAGATGATACTGGACTTCTGAGAATATATGGGAGGAATATGTGATGGGATTCAGCCGGTTCGCACCTGTTCAAGCGAACCAGTTGTTCAATTACCTAACCCCCACTATCAAAGTGGATCCTGTGGAGCAGCCGGCGTGAGGGAAGGAGAAAGTCGCTCGCTTTCTTTCTTCTCCCTGCTCCTCTTCCTTCCCTGGTGCCGGCCGCTCCGTTTCCCATTTATCCATTGCAGTGCAGCACCTAGGATACACTTGATAGTGGGGAGGGGGGTAATTTAACAACCAGTTCGCCCAGGGTCAGGTGAGCCGTTTCGGGAGGCTCGTCCAGGGGTGGGTTCCAACTGGTGTTACTACTGGTTCTCTTCACGCACACGCTTTGCACGTGATCGCCGTGCGCATGCTCGCTTAGCTCGCACGTGTGCCAAACTTGCGCTCCGTGCAAGCGCGTTATGTTTCTGCTCAGCTGAGGTGCGGCGATCCATTCTGCCATGCCTATCATCTGGGCTAAAAATCAAGAAATAAAGGTAGGAATAAAGGGGGGGGTGAGAGGGCCCAGCTCCCAGTCACAGAGAACCGGTTCGGTGACGTCACATCGTCACCACTACCGGCTCGGCCAAACCGGGCCGAACTGGGAGCAACCCACCACTGGGCTCGTCCCTCATGTGCAGCGGAGCTGGAGGATAAGGATGGGCGATGCCTCCCATAACAGCCAACCTGACCCTGGGCGAACCGGTTGTTAAATTATTTGAATCCCACCACTGGGAGGAACCCAACTCCTTGTTGTGCCAACATTGTCCTCACGGATACTAGAGGAGGCCTACTCCGGGGGGACCTTTAATCATGGATTTCAAGTTTCTGATTCTGATTGACTCCTGTCCCTTTTTCATGTCTGCAGGAAGGACTCATAGCGCAACAGGTTCTTCCATTTTTCAGGGGTAACTTTGGATCCCAATCAACGAATGGACTTTTATTTCTGGCTTGTATATCTTGTGAGTGAAAAAGCAAAACATAAGCCATCCACTGATGGTCCTGTATCTCCAGATGCTAAATTCCTGCTACTATCCAACCTCATTTTTCAGTCTCAAGCAGGCAGAAAAATAGATTTCCTAAATCGCTTTTGGGCTACAATTCGTGGCTTCTTTTTCCTCCGGCCCCTCATACCTTTTTCAGATTGTTCAAAACCAATTAAGCGCCCTGAACAACAACTTCCAGATCTGAGATATAAAACGCTAGCAGAACTTACTGTTAGCATCTCTACCATTTACACTCCCATCAATTCAGTCTTAACTCTAGATGGCAGCAATTCCAACTTTATGCACTTTTCACAAAACAGCTGCCCCCAAACTCAACAGTGTCGAGATAGACGTTTTGATGAAAAGGGAGTTTTACATCCACGGAGATTTCATATTCATATTTACTGGCTTTAAAAAAATATACTTCCTAGCATGTACAGGGAGATAAAATTGAATTGCGAAAGAAAACTGAATATCTTCTAGCTCTGTTTACTTGTTTAAATTAAATTTAAATAAGAGCCTTGGTGGCGCAGCAGACTAAAGTGCTGTTAAGTAGCACCAGCTGCCTGCAATTACTGCAAGTTCAAATCTCACCAGGCTCAAGATTGACTCAGCCTTCCATCCTTTCGAGGTAGGTAAAATGAGGACCCGATTTGTGGGGGCAATAAGCTGACT